AGGTGGATTAGTCACAGGAAATGCAGGGTTACAGGGGCGGGTCTGGGTGGGATGCTCTTCGGATGGTCAGTGTGGATTTGATGGGCTGAATGGCCTATTTCCACACTGTAGGTGTTTTATGAATAATTCTGCAATCCTCAGCTATGTGGTCTCTGCTCTCTAGAAATCATATAGGATCCAGGAGTTTGAAGAGATGGCCTGACTTGCAGTGGTCTCCTGTCACTGCCATTGTTTGCTTGCTCTACAAGGAAATCTAGGCTGTGATGGCCCACTCAGTCAAATGTCCATCAGCCATCATTAAGGAACACTCATGATGAATGAGCCCATTGGCTAAATATTAGTAGCCTCTGGGTTCCCAGAGAGCAACAGAAAACAAGAATTAAGAAAATTGGAGCAGTGTTGCATTTCTGCTTACAAAACGATAGTGATGTCCTGCTCTGATCCAGGATGTGCTGGTCCACAACCCTCTGTGGGAGGAATCGAACTAAGTAAACCTGGTTCTTGCGTTGTGACATTCAGGTCAAATTCCACACAGGAACCCTCAGGGGAGTGGTGCTGGAATGCACTCTTGAAGAATGGATTTGGAAATGACCTGACACCAAATTATTTCTGGGACATTTCCTGTAAGACATAGAGTGGTGGAAGTATAGTCGAAAACCACATCACCGGGTAACTATAAGAGCCATAGAGAAAAGGAAGGTTCATCTGAAATAACCTAGAGAGTGGAATTCTAATGATTAAACTGTAGGAAGTCACTACTGCAGGCTAATAATTCAATGATAGGATCTGGTGGTCCAGTGGTTGTTTCCCTACTTCTAAGCCAGGAGGTCTGGGTCCAAGTCCTACCAGTTCCAGATGTACGTAATAACATTTCTGATGAGGTTGAGATAGAAAGTATCAAATGGTTCATCCTCAACACCTACCAAAAATCTCCATTTTAACTTAATCCCCTCCCTCTTTCCTTACCTTCCCTCACTTTTATTTTATGCTCCTGATGGGTACTTAACTAGCGACATGGGTGATTTTGTTGGTGGAGAAAACAAAGTACAGAATAAAGTAAAATAAAATAAAGATCTGTGGATGCTGGAGAACTGAAACAAAAACAGAAATTGCCGGTAAAACTCAGCAGGTCTGGAAGCATCAATGGGAAGAAAGCAGAATGTTCTGATGAAGGGTCACTGGACTCAAAATGTTATCTCTGCTTTCTCTTCACAGATGCTGCCAGACTTGCTGAGTTTCACCAGCAATTTCTGTTTTTGTAAATAAAAGTGTAACATGGATAGTTTAAAAAAAAGGCTCAATAACAGAAAAAAAACAGGTTAAGGCTCTAGAAAAAAGAAAGAAAAAATGATTCAGTAGTTGGTTTTAATGTACGAACCAAAGGTCTCAAATGGTCTTGATAATACTGTAAACAAAATGATTTTAAGTGGTTTCAATAAGCTATACTGAACAGTAGAGAGTGTGCAGTTCAACTGAGAGGTTTTAAATACCTTTAAATTATCCTTAAAGTTAATGATTTCTTCTCAGTCTGGCAAATTATTGATGCAATTTTGTATTTAGTAATGCCAAACCTACAATTTCAACCCCTACATCAAGGACGAGGAAAGACTAACATTCCTTTTAAAGCTGAACAATTGCAGAGAAACCGAGAAGAGTCCATTCACAGGGCAGCCCCTTTATGTTACTGTACATGCACAGCTGCACCAAAAAATTTAAAGGACTCATCCACCTAAACAAGTGGTTGGAGACATTGGCCGAACTGCAGCTGTCACATGGGAACACCATCACTTTCCAGTTCTGCTCCAAGTCATCCTGACTTGGAAATGTATCGCCATTCCTTCACTGTCGCTGGGTTAAAATCCTGGAATTCCCTCCCTAACAGCACTTTGAGAGTACCTTCCTCACACAGACTACAGGGGTTCAAGGAGGCAGCTCACTAACACCTTCTTAAGGGCAATTAGGGATGGGCAGTAAATACTGTCCCAGCCTGCAACATCAGATCCTTTGAATGACATAGGAGATCCAAATGTTACTAAATTCTTATATGCCTGTAGATTCTATTCAAAGCACATTGTGTTCGATAGTCTGTGCAGTTTCTGACAGTGTGTATGCTTTATGATTTCATGTACAGAGTCTAATTTTGTGCATAGCATTTGATTCTCTCAATGGTGTTGAATATTCCCATTCTAAACCTGATCTCTTTCTTCCTCCTGTGTATGTGTTTGCTTCCATCTCCACCGGGCTATGTTATGAGCTGTAATCTGGATTAGAATTTGCTGTACCTCAACACCATCAATTAGACTTGATTCCTCCAATCTTCAGCTCAAATAGCGTCCATTAAGTAGCTGATAAAGTGTGAGCTGATAGTGTGCGGTCAAGAAGATAACATCTGAGCACTGAGTGAATGCAACCACTGATGTGGTGTCTCCTTAATCAGTAACATGTCAGAATGGGAAAGTACACAGTCGAAAGACTTAAGAGAGGTAATTCAAACAGGTGCTTTCTGATACAGAAAGAAGAATAGAGAGGGAAAAAAAAACATATTCTGGAATGAGAGAGAGAGAGAGATTAGAGAGAGGAAGGAAACATAAGAGAAAAAATGTGTAAAATTTGACATTTTTGAAGATCGCTAATCATTCATATTCTGGAATGAGTTCAAATATGCAAGTTAATTTTCTGTGCCAGAGAGGTTGACTTTTATTAACTAATATTATAATTAACATTTGTTGTATTGTCAAAATGCAGTTATGATTACTATCAATGGCAAACTTGATTCTTTTTTTAAAATCATTAATGGGCATTATTGGCTAGGCTAGAATTTATTGCCTAATCCTAGTTGTCCAGAGGGTAGTTAAATATCAATCAGATATAGCTGGAACTGCAGATGCTGGAGACAGAGTCAATAACAGCATGGAGCTGGAGGAACACAGCAGGGAGGACAGCATCAGAGGAGCAGGAAAGTTGATGTTTCAGGTTTACACCCTTCATGTTTCCTCCAGCTCCACACTGTATTGATTTAAGTGTCAATCACATTGCTGAGGGTTTAGAGTTACATGTAGGCCAGATCAGGTAAGGATGGCATATTTCTTACACAAAAGATTCCTGGTGAACCAGATGGGTTTTTAATGACGGAAGTTGCTGGAAAAGCTCAGCGGATCTGGCAGCATCTGTGAAGAAAAAAATCAGAGTTAACGTTTCGGGTCCGGTCATCCTACCTCAGAACTCAGAACTTCCTCAGACTTGTTCTGAGGAAGGGTCACTGGACCAGAAACATTAACTCTGATTTTTTTCTTCACAGATGCTGCCAGATCTGCTGAGCTTTTCCAGCAACTTCTGTTTGTGTTCCTGATTTACAGCATCTGCAGTTCTTTTGGTTTTTATTTGGGTTTTTAATGACAATGGACAATGGTCACCACTGGCTGGACTTCTTATCAAATTCAAATTTCAACCATCTTCCACGTTGGAATTTGAAGAGTTATCTCCGGAAATATGGCCTGGAGCTCTGGATTACTGGCCCAGTGACATTATTGTAAATCATCACCCTCCCCTTTGGAGGGGGTGAGGGAAGTGACACCTCCAGTATTGGTCAGGTGGGAGTTCCAGAACTGACTCAGGAAAGTAAGGGTGGTGGGTAGCTCAGAGGACAGTTGGTATTGCTTTCATTCATCTGCTGGCCATGTCGTTCTATGTTGGAGTTGGGGGTTTGTCGAAGGATCCTAGATAAAATACTTTGTGAATTCAGCAATTTCGTGATAAACAATGCATGTCAGAGTGCAATGGTGCAACAGGGACTTTTGGATATTTGCATTTAACCTTTTACCTCCCTGACCTGAAGTTACTGCACGCTATCTGCATAATGATAACAAACAGCGATTACTTCGCCACTACTTCATGGTGATCGCAAAAAAACCTGTCAATGGCTTCACATCCTGATTAAATAGCAACATTCTCCTCACTTTCCAGAGCTGAGCTAAGCCAGTGTTTCCTGATTATGTTTAAAACGCTGCTAAAATTTCCTCTGCTGGGCCTCGACACCACCTCATCCACAACAGCATCATTATTCCATTCTGCACGCTAGCATCAGTCTGAGTGAGCACATCCACAGGGATGCCAAAACAGGACACTCATTCGTGTGCTCTGGAGTTTGGAAGTGACTTGAACCTACTATCAGCGGATAGTAGGAACTGCAGATGCTGGAAAATCTGAGATAACAAGGTGTAGAGCTGGATGAACACAGCAGGCCGAGCAGCATCATAGGGCAGGAAAGCTGACGTAGGCCCGAAACGTCAGCCTTCCTGCTCCTATGATGCTGCTTGGCCTGCTGTGTTCATTCAGCTCTACACCTTGTTATCTCAGACTATCTCAGCAGTTTTGGCTCAATTCAAAAATATGTCATGAAGGCTGCATTCAGCTTACAGTACATTTAAGATAATAACTTGTGCTCAATTAAAGATCACTTGGGGAAAACTGCATGAAGGCTTGGCACGGTGGCTCAGTGGTTAGCATTGCTGCCTCACAGTGCCAGGGATGCAGGTTTGATTCCACCCTCGGGTGACTGTCTGTGTGGAATTTGCACATTCTCCCCGTGTCTGCATGGATTTCCTCCCACAGTCCAAAGATGAACGTGGTGGATTGGCTATGCTAAATTGCCGCATAATTTCCAGGGAAATGCAGGGTTACAGGTTGGTGTGGAGTTGATGGTCTGAATGGCCTGCTTCCCACACTGTAGGGAGTCTGTGGTACATATTTGTCTGAACTCAATTGTTCACAGAGAATGCACTTATTTCCATTGCTGTTCATGGTGGATCTATTAACTTTCCTACTCCCTGGGACGTTTTGTAATCTCTTCCTCCTCCTCCCTCCTGCAAAATAACTACAAAATGTTTCTGTGGCTGTGAGTTTAACTAGGCAATATTACACTCAGCGTTGGACCTAAGGAGACGATTAAATGAACCACATTGTGAGCTGCCTTTAGCACAGGGGAATACACCAACCCCTTT